GGAGCGCCTGGGGACCCCGGCGCGGTCCCCGGCGCGGCCCCTGGGGCTGGCTCTGCCCCCGTCACGGGCCCAGGACCCCGTCGGAGGCCGGTTACACCTGCTGCCAAGCGCCACCGCTGCCCCTTTCTGGGCTGCAACAAAGCTTATTACAAGTCGTCGCATCTGAAGTCCCACCAGCGCACCCACACGGGTGAGCGCCCTTTCTCCTGCGACTGGCTCGACTGCGACAAGAAGTTCACGCGCTCCGACGAGCTGGCCCGCCACTACAGGACGCACACAGGCGAGAAGCGCTTCTCCTGTCCCCTCTGCCCCAAGCAGTTTTCCCGGAGCGACCACCTGACCAAGCATGCCCGCCGCCACCCAGCCTATCATCCCGACATGATCGAGTATCGGGGACGCCGTCGCACTCCCCGCGTTGACCCGCCACCTCGCGTCGACCCGCCACCGGCTAACCTGGTGGACAGCTCCGGCTCCATCCCGATCTTGGCGACCAGCTTCACCGCCTGCCTGTCTGATGGTCATTGCTTTTAGTCGTCCCTTCCAGGACGATCTCCCAGGCCGTGTCCCTGCCTTCTCGCTGCCCACCCCTCTTTCCCAGAGTCATTAGTCAAGGCACAGACTGGTTCCTCTGCTGAGGGTGGTTGCAGGCAGGCACGGTGGACCCTGGGGAGGGACAGAGGGCCCGCAAATAGCAGGAGTTCTTACAACACATAGCATCCTAAAAGGGAGGGTTGCCTGGAGACAGCCCCCAGGAATGATGAGAAGGGATGAACACCCTGCTACCCTCCAGAGTCCTGAAGATTCTCCGTTCTCTGGAACTAGAGATGTGAAACTGGAATTCTCAGGTGCCTGAGGAGCTCCCAGTCTCAAGGGACTCTGGTTGTTTTACCCACCCGCCTGCTCCGGGTGGACCATGGAGAGGTTGTTATGGGTGGCAGTCTTGGAAGTGTCCACGACTGGGATGGTGAGAGGCCTTTGGAAACAGAAATGATTTCTATTTCTGTAAACAGCAATGTTTACTAATTTATTTTTAGTATATTTTAAACAGGGAAAAATGCACAGGGATCCCAGGTTGATTGGAGGTTGACGTCCTTCACTCCCCAATTGCCCCAGCTACCTCTGCTGGGAGAGACCATGTAAAAATCCATGTAGCTGTATGGCTGGGAGGTGCTTCTTGGTGGCTGGGAGTGGTGAGTCTGTTGCAGGTCCTGTTGCATGGTTAGGTACCCTGCACTGACTTGGTGGCCTTTTTTTTTTTTTTTTTTTCCCATTTTGAGTCTTACTTAGGGACAGTAACTTCCTGGCTTACTCTGACAATGAGATTGGTTCAAAATAAATGGAAACAACCATAAGTGCACCAGAAATAAAAGGATGTTCTAGGCTAGTCCCCCCTTTACCTGGTAGATAAACTCAAGTGACTTTGGGTGATATTGGCCCAAAACAAATCTTTCAGAAACATTCAGGGAAATAGAGGCAGATGGTTCCCCAGCCACCCACTCCAAGTAATCTCAGGTGTGGTAGATTCTGTTGGTTTCCTAATGGTTAATTAGGGGGTTATTTCTCTTGGGGGTCTGTGCATTTTTGTTTCTGCAACAGATGAGTTGGTGAGGCGGGGAGGGGAAGGTGAGTGTGGCTTCTCCCAAGGAGCTGGCTGGATTTGGGAAAGAGCCTGCAAGGTGAAAGTTACTATCGGTTAGGATGACTCTTCTCCCCTCACCTTGGAGTCCCTTCAGCTTATACCCCTGCCCGTCCCTCCCCCATGCAGAAACCAAGTATCAATAATATTTATTTTGTTCTATCCTATCTCTGCTGCTATGGATGAAATCATCAGCCACTTTGCTTACGTTTGTGTGAATGTGTATATATGTAACCCATTAGAGATGGGGCCAAAAGGTATTTTCTGCTCTGGTAAGGTCCCCTTTGGTCCCCTCCTGAGTATCTTATAATCATCAGTCATACTTGTGGAGGATATATATCGCAAAGGACCATAATAGGCATCCAATTAAACAAACTGCTTTTCCCTATTTTGCAGATCAAGACACTGAAACTTAGATAAGCTTAAAATCACACGCTGAACTGCTGGGAGGAACTATGACCAGATTTTAGGTACCTGGCCTTCTAAGCAGCTCTTTCCCTCACACTGGGTTATCCCACCTCCTCTCTCTCTGGGCCTCAGTTAAAAGACACCACTCTCCCTTCCTGTCACTGGGTTCCCCTCATTCCCCAGTCCTCTCACTTCAGTGTTCCTTAAGATGTGTAGTTCTTGTGAGCCCTTTGCTTGCTATGTTTAACCCAAAAGCCCTTTACTTAGCAAGTTGAGTCTATTCCCTCCTTCAGCACCCTGAGGACTTAGAGTGGGAATGACTTTTTGGCATCTTCAGGCGAGACTATACCTTGTAACATGGCAGATTAATTTTCAATGTCAATTCCTTTTTTTTTTTTTTTTACTGGCCCTGGGAATTTCAGCTTCCATGAGAGAGTGAGTGATATGAACCTGGCATTAGTCTATGCCAAGTGTTTATATACTAAGTGAGGGAAGGGCCTTTAAGAAGGACCCAGATGGTGTGGCCTGTGACCCTGAAGAGTTTCAGTGTTTCCTGGTGTGAACTAATCAAAGTAAGGGAACTCTCCTGGAACTACATACGGGAAGGAACAGCCCCAGTGGTGGAGGTGGGTTTTGGTGGTGGGAAGAGTTTCCCTTTTGTTCCTTTTGTCTCCTCAGCTGGGACTGGCTAGGAAGGGCACTGCAGCATCACTAAGGACTGTGATTTCCCTTTGTTCACATCAGTAGAAGATCTGGCATTTGGTAGGTGGACCAACGGAGCTAACAGGAGAGAGACTTCCACTGACCATTCTGGAATTGGGCTCAAGAAAGCTTGGCTTATCCACCCTTTGATAAATAACTTTTGATTCTCAAACTCCCAAGTAGTGTCCTTATTTGGCTGCTTCTACTTTGGGGACTTTCGTCTGGGAATGACTTCTGACAATCTAAATGTGGTATGTCTGTCAATAACTCCTCCTAGGTCTCAGGGGGGTGGCGGGGGGGGGGGAGATCCAGAACACCAGAGTGTGCAGTTTATGGATGCAAGATTTCTAGGCTGGTCTTTCTTCCTCTAGTATTTTCACTCCAGCAGCTAGGCTACTCTGGAGGAGAAGTTATTAGTGAAATATTTTGGAAGAGGCTTCCTACTTTTATGAGAATTTCTTTGTCTTGTTTTGTTTATTAGATAGAACTCAGAAAATGAATGTGTCCGGGAATTGGTGGGGTCAGCTTGACACTCTGGTTCCTGATTCCACCCCGCCATGATGAGTTCTGATGTACAAATGACCTAGTAACCGAGTCTATTAACATATCTCTTCCTGGGTTAGAAGCTGGGAACATGTTCTAAATTAGACCTTGGGAGTGAGAGAATAGGATACCTTATGTTCTTGGGAGAGGGTAAAGAGTACAGGCTCTGCCCCCATACTCGGGGACAAGAATCTGTCACTTGTCCCCCTTTCCCTGTTCTTCTCTAAGTTAGGAAGCATATTAGAATGTCGTTTTTGGTTTTGTACCTCGTCACCCCAAAAGAAAATTGTGTTCACTGATGGAAACATAGGGAAGAAGGTCACTGAACACACGCACATACTATACTTCTCTCTCTCTCTCTCTCTCAGCTATCTTCTCTCTTTTGTACCTCTTTGCTGCAATGTGTATGCATCCACTCAGCGTATCTGCTGAGGCCCAGCCTGCCTTCTACAGGAGGGTCTGAAGAGCACCTCTTTCTGTTTCTACATTTTGCGTAGCTATGCCCTTGGCCACTCTCCAGGTAAGTGTTTTCTTTGTGTGTTGTCCTTTTGGGGGTATCATTCCAAGACCAGGAATTAGGATGGTAAGAGGAACAGTGGAAGGATGGTATTAGAAAACTTAATTTTGTACATAGAGTGCCATTATCAACAAAATATTTATGTTTTGATCCCACTACCTAGTTCCTATATCATTATTCAGTTGGTTGAGGGGAAGCATAGGACTAATTTTCTTTCTTAAAAGTCAACCCATGAAAATGTTTATTTAGTTTTAAATCTTGAGAAATAATAGGTACTCTGTCAGGAATTAAGGGACAAAAAAAGACGTATGGAAATGGGACATCTGGTAACCAGGACACTGATCTTTATCGTTTTAATAATCTTAAGTCTTTGAGTTCTTTGACCTTTCAAATGTTAGCAGCTTATGGTAGTCTGTGTGCACAGGAAAGTCCCTCTTGTTTTAGAGGTACTAGAAATAGGGATTTATGGAAGTTGGCTGCACAAACCATTGTGACTGATCTTGGTTCACATAGATAAAGTTGAGTCAGGTTTGCCATAAAAGAGAAGGTTTCTATGGAGTAGAAAAGTCTATGCCGTCTTTATTCTCAGCCAGAATAGCAGGTACCATACAAAAGTGTATGTTCCAGGCATCCTTAAAAAACCAGTTTGGAAGATTCTAGCCCTTGAATTGTGCTGGAGAGTAGCATTAAATCACTTTCACCCAATTTGGTCCCTTTTATGTTGACTTGATTTGCATATTTTTATAGGGTCAAGGAGATACCTATAGGAAGGGTCAAATTCTTTAATTCACATGAAGGTATACAGAGTACTTTGTATTAATATTCCAAGATGGTGCCAGATCTACAGACTATCTTGAAAGGGACTCAAGTTAAATATTCCATCACAGAGGAAAGAATGATTTTAATCATAAATACAAAAGAAAGAATATAATTATTTTTATATAGGGATTTGATATAGAAAGAAATAACACTATTTTAGTCCCAGAGAGTAACAAGAGTATTGAAATGAGCTGTGCATAAATTTTTCTCTCCCTGAGAATCAATATGTTAAGGAAATCAAAGAGGAACCATATTAGTTCCATATATATATGCATATATTAATATGTACAGTGATATTGAATATTAATATGTATCTATATATATTGAAGTAAAGTGGAAGTAGAAGTTCAAGAATGTATAAAAAGGAAAACAGGTTGAACTGGAAGAAGAAAAGGATTTCTTTAGAAGAATGTTCTTAAAGGACAATACAAATGGGAAAATAAGAAAGACCAGGAGTCAAGCAATCTTGAAGATGCACTTGTAACAGAGAGTGGTGATTTAGTCATTGGTAAGTGAGAGGAAGAGATTGGAACCTGAGCAGATATAAGCATGGAAGCAAGCTGTCAGAGAAAACAGTCCTACCTCCATCAGGAATATCAAATCCATGGGAATATTGATAGCTACCTGCCTGAGTCTGTATAGAAAGTGATGAGAAATCACCCTTTCAGTGTTGATGGTTACAAGAAATGTAGATAGTACTTCCAACTTTTTTTTTAGCTTCATCGCAGTGATTTAGCATTGTCAATGAAAATCCAAATATGATTTGGATAATATAGAGTTAGGTCTCTAAGAGAAAACATAAGGTAGATGAGCTATAAAACAAGTCATAGATATTAGGAAGGAAAAATATATTTCAGTTGGCTTCGAAGTAAGTGTTTATTTTAAAAAAATACTAAATTGTGATTTAATTTAAAAACATTTTGCAAACTAGTATCAGATAATTACTTAAGTGAGTTAAAAAAAAAGTCCACCAAAGCTTATAGTAAACATCGAACCTAAAAATATTTGAAGATTACAGGAAATCCTGTTGATCATCTAATAAAAGTAGAAAGGGAATCTTAACAAACCCCAGATAGCTAGTAACATAAAAAAACAACAAAAATATAACCACAACCCATGCATTAGGAAGTAGAAAAGCAAACCTCTACATTATACCAATAAGAGAGGCAATTACAATACTTTAGAACTGATGGAAGATCAAAAGCACTGCATAGCAAAACTTGATGCAGGCAGAGAGCTCTGGGAGAGGAAGTATAATTTATGTCCTTAAGTTTGTGTTCAAAAATAAAAGACTTAAGGGATATAAACTAAGCTTTCAGTTTCAAAAGATATGGAAAACAAACCCCACAGAAACAGAGAAATTATTATGTCATGCATTTTTAATACTATCTCTAATGGGAACAAAAATTGGTATTTATGATATTATGATGCTTTTGATTGTTCAAAAAACTAATATAAACATATCTATATGTGTGTATATATATATGTATATATATATATATATATTCCAAATAGGTGGTTTAAGTTGTTTGTGTAGGTGTAGGGGATTAGTAAAAAAAAAAAAAAATAGCCTAAAAGTCTCTTACAGGAATGGTAATGAGAATGGCTGAAAAACTCTGCTATAGATAGAAGCAGAAATTAGTGAAATGGAAGAAAAAAATGAATAGAGTGGAATAAAAGTCTTTTTAAATGCCCAATGAAAATAGATTTCTTTGGAAAGTATGATTAAGAACAAGACACAAAATTTATCAAAATTTAAAAAGATACAAAACCTTAATAATACCAATAGATTGTTTTAAATTATAAAAGAATAACATAAACAACTTACAGCAGTAGAGATGGAAAATACATGGATAATCTTACAGGAAAATATAACATTTTGGGAAGACCCAAGAAGATGTAGATTATCTGCAGTAGAAATGGTTGTCAAAGTTCTATCCTTTCAAAAAAGGCACTAGGTTTAGGTGGTTGTATAGGAAATTTTCTAAAATTTAAGAAATAATAAGTATCTTCCATCTTTTGTAAATTGTTCCAAATCATTGTAAAATCTTCAACTTATATAGTTAAACCATCCCTCATACCAAAGCATGATTAAAAAACACCACTTTATCTATAAACATGGGTGCACAAATCATAAGTACAATATTATGACTTCTAACTCAGCAGAGAATGAAAAGAATAATGCACCATGATAGGAAGTTTATCTCAGAATGCAACATTAACTCAGTAGTAGAATTCTGTCAATATAATTCACTGCATCAATTGAAAATCAGTGACTTTCTTCTATGCTCAAAATTATTAATTAGAAAATTATTTTATATACAGCAACAGAGGAGGATATAAAAAACCTACAAAAAAAACCTAACACTTCTACTGAGTGACATAAAAGAAAATATGACTAAAGACACTGAAGCCAATAAAACTCAATACTATAGAAATGTCCGTCCTTTTCTCAAATCTATATATTTGATCCATTACAGTCAAAACCCCAGAAGTATTTTTCAAAAAACCTTTTCAAGGAAATACTACAGAAGATCATAGGGGAAGGCAGGAGGAAAAGGAGGGAGAATAGATTTACCAAGTACCAAAATACTACAAAGCTATGACCATTGAAACAGTATGGCATAGTGCAGGAACAAAGAGAAAAGTGGGATTGCATAAGGAACTCAAAATAGATGTGTGACTATGGAAGAACTTGCAATTTAAGAGACATGGCACGTAAGATCAGTGAGGAAAAGACAGACTGAGCAGTGAATGCTCCTGAGACAATCAGCTCTTCATGAACAAAAGCAACCATTACAGTGAAAAAAAAAATACAACATTATTTTCTACTCAAAGCTTTCAAAAAATAAATTCTAGATGGCAAAGACTTTAACATAGCTAAGCTGTAGAAATTATCAGTCAAAAAGACTAGAAATCTGTTACCTTTGGATAAAGAAGACTTTAACACAACATTTTTTAAAATAAAAATTTAAAGAGGGAAACGATTCAAAGGCATCAAAATTCTAAAATGTTTTACAGCTGAAAAACTAAACAAAGCGTGGTACAAAACAACACTCTTATTGAGCAGGTATAAGGTCAATATCCAACATAACCAAAAGTCTGAGTGATGAAGGCTCCCTACAGTGGTGACTGGATAGTAATAGGCAATTTACAGGAAGGAGAAGGGTTGAAAATGTCAGTGTTTCTTTAGCCCCATATATAATTCTTTTACTCTTTTAAAAGGAGACTATGCTTGTGTACATTAAAAACAAACAAACAAACAAACAAAAACTAACAGGCAAAGAACAAAAGCAGATGGTAGGAAATTGCAGAGCAGACAAATAAAGCAAGCAGGTACCATAAGCTTTGTATCAGTCAAAATAAAAACAAAAGTGTGAAACATTGATGAGACACAGGTAGATTCTTTTGTACAGAGAAAAAAGATACTATAAATCTAAAATAATTAAGGACATTTTTGTCCCTGTATTGGGGGTGTCCATTTAAGAATTCTAGTACCTACTCTGGACAAGAGTTTCTTCTCCCACTCCCCACTGGGAATGTGGACCCATGCCCATTTTCTCAAGCTTATTATAGGGGTGGAGTAAGGGAATACCAACAGTAGTTAGGTCACATGGGAACTGGGCTCAATCTAAATTCTCCCAGGAAAATATTTCCCTTTTGAAATACTTCCTTTCTCATCTTTTCCCTTCTCTCCTTGTCCTCTCATTTTTCACAATAGGTGATCCAGAGCTTGACCAGAGAGTTTATTACCCTTTCAAAATGTTCTAGTTTAGTAATGGGAAAGGAGAGAGCAGTCAAGAGCATACATTTATAGGATGGTAGCCTGCTGGATTAGTAGTAGCAGATTGCAGCTTTCCAACAAACTCCTACTCCTGTTAATAACAGAGATCTTTAACTTGTCAGACTCTCTCCAGGGCTGCCTCCCTGTGTGGGTCTCTCATTCCTTCCCACCTTGGATTCTGAATGCCAGGTCCTTAAAGAGCCTCAAGATGGCAGAAATGGAAGCAATCTCAGGCTGTGTGCTGCACTGTTCTTTGGACTCTCATTCCCTTTCCATGCTCTGTGGCTTTTCTGGGCACCTCTAGGCATGTAGTGCTTGTGTTGGTGCATTGCAACAGGTCCTGTTTGCTGCTTTTGGGGTGCTCGTCTGATACTCGCTGCTGGAGCCTGCTGTCGCCTCT